AATAGCCGATGATAAGTCGGAATCCGAATCAGTAGGATTAGTCGTTTTAGCTTAATTGATAATCACTTATTTTAATCAATTTTTCTCTTGTTTTATAAGTCGAAACGTAAAACCCCCATAAACGTTTTCTTTAGTTGGTTGAAATAATAGAAGAATCCTTATGATACGACATCCGTGTGTCGCTTCCATTTACTACTTTTTCAAAAATACTCAGTTTTGATCCGTGCGTGACAGCGGATCGGTTGGCCGTATTACTTTGTTTACCGGATGTTCACGATCAATGAGTTCAATAAGGGAACATCATTTTGCTACATGTCCATGATATCCAAGATTCTCAATTTCTTCAATATTAGGATACCAAATCTGATGTTCATATCGCTTTGCCCAATTCAAGAATTTTGCAAACATACCTTGACCAATATGGGGTAATTTTGGGATGAGGAACGTCAAAAGTACTACTTTAGGATGGGTAAACATGGTTGGAAGGTGTACAATTTTGATAACCCCTCAGAATTCATTGACTCCATTGTTAAGCCACAAGCTACCGTTGATGAACATGTCCATGATGTTGATCATGAAGCTGACCTAATAGGTAATGAGCATGGAGATCAATCCTCAATTATAATTTTGCTTCAAAATATGCAGAGGAAACAACATGCGCATCATCGAGAGGAATTTCGGAGAAGAAAAGCTTTTGAAGCAACTCTAATGGAATAACTCTGCGCTGTTGAAGAACGCATGAAGGTGCAAGATGTAAACTTTGAGGATTATGCTTCTTTTGTGACAAATAAGCTGATGACGTTAAAAGATGAGATGGATGCAAACACTACTGCTACTATTTCCAGGGTCAATCACATAATTTTTTCCCAAAAGAAGATCATCATCATTATACACAATTTTATCATGAAATGTGTGATTTCCTGGATTTCCAGTTTGGTAGTGATGGTCAAGGATGGTTTCATGGAACAAGATCTGTGAGTCGTGGAAGACATTGAGTTTAGTTGTGTCTGTCTAAAATTTTTAGGATTTGTTTTGTTAGTTCATGCATTTTGTGTTTCATCCATGTCATCATGCATGTTTACATTCTGTTTTGGTTTGTTATGCTTTGTTATGCTTTAGTATGGTTGCAGTACTTGTACTACAATTTATTAAAATAAATAAATATGAGTATTATTGGTGTGTTTATTAAGTTTGTGTATTTACATATATTGTATGTGAGTGCACTTCCTATCTTTGCAAATTGCCTCTACGTAAGTGTATATAATATGTATATTATATGTGATACTCCTAATGAATTAGCTGTCTCTTTTTAATGTTGTCAAAAGGGGAGAAGAATATAAAGGATATAATGAAGAATATGAAAGAATGCATATAATCAGGGGGGTCTATTCAGTGTACTGGAGAAAAACATATCATCGTAAATTTCGAGTTTTGCCATCATCAAAAAGGGGGACTATGTGAGTGCATTCTTCCATATAGTCATGTTTTGAATGATGTCAAAATTAGGAGCAATTTAGCGTTTTTGTATATTGGACGGTATCAATCCAATCTTAGATGTGAATTGATCCTCTTAGCCTTAAGATGCATACAAACATGTTTGAAATTGATTGGAAATGACTTAGGAAGGGACCATGCTTCAAAAATTGAGTTTTAGTGTGAAAACTAGTGCATAGGCCAAAAAATACGTTTTTAGATCGACTTATAGAAGCTTTTGCTTCAGCATAGTTCGACACAAAGCTTGTACAGGTCGACACCCACACCTCAATAATGAAGGTTGTCGCTTTTGTTCCACAGGTCGCCTCAGATAGGCCGGCCTAAGACCTTTACAGGTTGGCACATCACATTCATAGGTTGACCTATAATGTGCAAATTTTGAAAATTTGTTTTTCCTTTCATTTCTTCATGCATGCAATTGTAAAACCTAAACGAATGTGAAAATATATATACTCATGCATGCACCTCATTCTAGAAAGGTACTAGTGTAAAACCTAAACGAAGTCAGAATTACAAAGAAAACACATCATCTTCAACCTCTTTTTTATGCATGCACACAATCAAACTACACATAGTTATATTTTTGATTGGGTGATCATCTAGATTAGGGTTGATAACATCCAATTAGGTTGGTGTAAGCGAGAATGTTTGGTTGAGTTCTTTTTGTGTTTCAAATAAGAAAAACAAGTTGAGGTTTTCCTTTAAGATCATTGGGATTTGAAGGTTTTGGATAATATCACACAAATACGAATTCTATCGATTGAAGAGGCCTTGGGACAAGTTAGGGTGTACCTTGCAAGGGAGTAGTGTGAAATGATGAATCCCGTTCGTGAATCTAACGTTCAACAACTGCGTGCTAAGGATTAATCCGACCGAGCAAAAACCTTGAAGACTAGGAGGTATTGTAAGCTAGTAACAAGAACTGGTGGGTTGTAGCAAAATTGTTGGTTACTTGATCAATCTTTGATCAAGGGTTTTAGAGGTAGTAGAATCAACAACAAACCATATGTTTTGTGGGGTTAGAGTTCTTCATATCTTGTATATACATTGTTTGCAAAGTAAGGCTAAATTGCAACTATCTCAATTCGAATTCGAATTGAAGGTAAATGTACCCATAGCGAGGCCGGTTGGAGAAGTGCCTAAACAAATCCTTCTCTCTCTCTCTCTCTCTCTCTCTCTCTCTCTCTCTCTCTCTCTCTATCTATCTATCTATCTATCTATCTATCTATCTATCTATCTATCTATCTATCTATCTATCTATCTATCTATCTATCTATCTATCTATCTATCTATCTATCTATCTATCTATCTATCTATCTATCTATCTATCTATCTATCTATCTATCTTTATCTCTATCTCTATCTATCTATTTATATCTCTTTCTATCTATATATCTATCTCTTTAATTGTTATACTTGCAAATTATCGAATCTTTGTTGTTTGAATTGATTTGTTTTGAAATTAAATTTTTTATTACATTTTGAATTACGATTTGTTGATATAATCATAATCACTTTGATTGTGATTAGTTTTAACATCAAAAAAACAAATTAAATTTTCATGCGTTATCAATTGCATTCAAAGTGTTCGATAAATTCTTTCAATTGATTTTAGTTGATCTTTGAATTAATCGTTGTTAAACAATTTGTGTTAATTATCATCCAATTGGTTTACGTTATGCATATTCGAGCTTTTCTATAGTAGGTTCGGTTAAACAATTTGATTCAGGTTGTTTCCGTTGTGGCATAAAATTTTTGAAAATTATTTTTGTCAAAAGTTAAATTTTTAATTTGTGATTGTTGTAAATGTGCCTTAAAATATTTGTTGATGAAGAGAAAGAAAATATATTTTGGATATTGCATTTACCGCGAAAATCAGAAGTTTTAGAAAGTCAGGAAAAAATCGGTCGGTGAATATTATTGTTGTACGGTGAATAGTGATGTTCGTACGGTGAATAGTGTTGGTCGTACGGTGAATAATGTTTTTGAGTTTTTGGATTTTTCGATTCGGTCCATGGATCCATGTGACTTTGGGCTTTGTTTGTTGGGTATTTGCTATTATAAATATGTATCTCTTATATGTTTGGTGTGTGACAATCTTAGAGCTTTCACCAACAAGGAAGGTCAAGGGTTTAAAGGTATAACATATATAGGGTTTCAGTTATGCACAAAGAAAACCTTGAATTACAAATAGGGTTGTTCTTGGGCGGGCGCCTTCAGAGTTGTTTTTGGAAACCGGGAACCTGAAGGCGAAGGTTATTTTCTTGTAACTCATTTGTAACCTCTTGTAACAACTTTCTGAGTATAGTGAATTGGAGGGGTGCTCTCTCCCCCAGAGTAGATCGTTTGATCGAACTAGGTAAACAAACCGGTTTTTTTTCTTGTTTTATTCTATTATATTATCTGTTTACGGATTATTATTGTTGAAGACCATTTATTTTGGTTGCTATTGTTCTTTGTCTTACAAATTAATATTGAATTTTGTTGTAATTCACAACAAGATTCACAACAGTGATCTATTCAACTCCCTTCCATTTTCTAAATCAAAGTCTATTGTTTAATAGTCCTAAGCCACGAGAATCACCCTATTTTTTTAAGGATCTTGTTTATCCCATTATAAGTTCTTTTTACCACAAAGATGATAGTTGATAGAAATAGAATCAGGTTCTCATTTCTATTTATATTGCAACTTGTTACTCCCAATAAATAAAAACTCTTACTTTATTATGTAGTTAATTGGTCTAAAAATGAGATTGAAAAAAAATTAGAATAATTTTCATCTTTTCGAAGGTTACCTAGGGAAACTCTAAATACTATCTAAATTTGCACTCATTCATATTACTTAAATTTAAGCAAAACTATTTACTTTAGTGTATTTTATTGATGAAAAAAATACATTTATTAATAATAACATTCAATATGTGTATATTTATTAACTTTTAATTATATGAGTCTAAAAAAAGAAGGCAACATTTTATTTATTGAAAATTAAATAATTTTATGAAATATTCAATATTTGGTTTGCATAAAAAAAATCAATTATTTCTTTTTCAAATTAAAAATTATAAGAATTTTTGTACATAAAAAACTTTGATAAGTAAGATATCTAACATCTAATCATTTCTACATGTTTAAGATTAAGTAAAGGTATTAAGAAATTAAAGCACTACTAATCCAATCAACAATACATAGCTAAACTTTCCATTAGAAGCCAAATTTGGTTGAGTCAATCAAAAACATAACTTGCATTCTGAAAGAAAAAGAAACCAGAACAAACATTACAAGTTGAACCTCTCATTCTTATTATTCTTATTTATCTACATAAGAGGTTTTGGAGAAAAACTCACTATGTCATATAAACTTATATATGTACATGAACTAAGTAATCTGATTCTTGTTCAGTTTGAACTTCTTCGGTTGGCATTCAACAAGGTTGATGAACAAAACTGGTTTTACAGTTTGAGGTTTTCGAGAAAACATGATCGCCGATATTTTTAGGCGAAGTTTTACGAAGTCTCGTGAAAGTTATGCGACCTAGACAATGCGGCCGGATTGGCTTGCAAGACTGAAGATGCTTGGTCAGACTCTGAGTCATTTTTCTTGTCTAGCTTTGAAGGGAATGCTTGAAAGAGTCTTCCTGATGGAACTGGACTGGCGGTGTCGTCGTTTTTGATCCCTAGTGTTGTCCAGAAAGAGGTTTTTTCTGCTTCTCCCGAGTCGTCGATCCTCAAAGATTTTGGAAACCACAGACACTTTTCCTCGCTAGTTTCTTTTCTACCTTCTTCCCTTGAATGTTTACCTAAGGTCGGAGAGTTTGGACTAGAGTTAGGGGCAGACGACGGTTGTGCTTGCCACGGGACATTCCATCCGCCTGGCACGGTGCAACCCCAGTAAGATGTTGCGGGATAGAACGGTAAAGAAAATCCCGGTGGAGAAAACGCGGGTGGTGGAACTGGTGATCTCCATTGCGTTGGGTTCCATGGGAAAGGACAAGGAGTCCCCGGAGGAAAGTAGTGACCTTGTGGTGGGAAGCTTTGGCTGTACTGTCTAGCTTGTTCTTGGGCTACATGCGTGCTTGCACCTTCTGTCGATGTAACCGATGATTTATTGGATTGATCATCGCCTTTTTCTCCACTTGCACGAGGAACACGGATTCTTAGTTCTTCAGGTTTATGAGCAAGTTTCAAAACAGATGCCATCGATTCAGATAAAGGTGAATCGGATCCAAACGTAAGGACTGTGCCATTGCATTTCAAGGAAGGGTGTATCCGAGAATTCTGGAGTGTTGCATCGGAGACAGTTATCTGTCGGTACTGAGAAGAACAGCTCTTGTTCCTTCTGCGACCAGCACCTACGGGCACGTTTCTCATGGTTCCACCGGCAGTCCAATATCTCTGACAATTCTTGCAAAAGTGGCGAGGTTGGTTGACGTTGTAATTGTTATAGTAGCAGAACTTTGTGTCCATGCTACTGCAGCGCGGACACGGGATTATTTTGTCAGGTTTCTTTAGGCTCTTTTCCTGTGAATTACTCGTTTCGTCCTGTTCTTCTTCAGTCTTTGAAGCTTTCAATGTAGCAACCTCTTTTTCAGTGGATGCAGTAACAGATTCTTCGCCAGTTCTAGAGGCCGCATCTGGATTTGTGAATTCTTCATTCGATTGCGTAGGGACTCCGTCTTCGTTTTTTTCATCAGCCGATTTTTCTCCCAATGTATCCTGGAATCACGAAAACCACAGCTTAATATTTTGCCAAGATCCCGTTTAATCACTATGAAACAAGGACACAAACACCAGATACGATACAAATGCTATGACACATCAAGACTAGTAATAATTTGATATAATAAAAGTGATTGAATGTAACCAAATATGTGTCGGATACACCTTCAATCTGAAACACTGACATAGACACCGTATACGATACAGATGCTCAGACACATCAAGATTAATAATTTCAATCTGAAACACTGACCCAGAGACATCAGATACGATCCAGATGCTCAGCCACATCAAGACTAGTAATAATTTGATAAAGTAAAAGTGATTGTAGTAATAATTTGATCAAATAAAAGTGAGTGCATGTAACTGGTGTCAGATACACCTTCAATCTGAATTGTTAGTACTATATAGGTTAACAAAACAGAACATCAATTACAAATAAGTGTTAATATAAAATAAAAGAGCAGATTACAAATTCTACTCTATCTGAATTTGGAAATTTTCATAGAAAACCCAAAAGTCAAATAGAGAAAAAGCAATTTTTTTCACCAACATGCTTATGGATTATCACAAAGGTAGACCAGAAGAATCAGAAAGCTTATAGGAAAAAACAAAATTACAGATCAGATTAGTTTATGTTTCAAATACACACTGATTCTTTCAATCCATCAAAAAAAACAAACTTCATCATCAAGCAAAAAACTAACACCAACCCATTAAATATTTTTTCATTCCAAATAAAGGGTCATAATCAAAATAAAAAATTTCTGAAACCCAAAAATAAAAATTCTCATATTAATTTTATATATACCTTATGAATCTCTTGCTGTTTTGCATCAATACTATTATGAGACTCTCTAGATGAGTTTGTAGAAGAATCATGATTATGATGATTATGATGATGATGAATACTGTGATCAACAACATCAGCAGAAGACAAAGGTGAAAGACCGACAAGAATCTCCTTAACCGGAATTGTTTTGCCGAAGAGTTTGATCGCAGAGTCTTTTGTCTCCAACATTTCTGTGTTTTTTTGTGGTTATTGCTAAAAACAGATAAAAAGGTTTTTTTGTCTAGAAAGAGGAAAAAAAGTAAAAACTGTAAAAGTAGTTCGAGAGAGAGAGAGAGAGAGAGAGAGAGAGGAGAGAGAGACACGTTTGAAGAAGTGTGAGAGTGTGGTTGATTGTTGTTGATCCGTTGAGGAAGGTTTGGAGTGCCACATCAGAAGGGAGGTGGAATTTGAGCCACATATTAAGTTTGTGGCCTTTAAAAGATCTTTCTCTTTCTTCCTTTTTGAGTTCCTTTTTTCAATCCACCTGTGTGCTTTGTCGTTGCGGTTTGTCATATCGCACATATCTTCGTACTTACTTCTTCCATTCTAAATATGTTTTGTTTCATTACACTTTTCATCTACTATTTTTATTTATTTAAGGAATTTTTTGTTTTTTAAATATTTATTAAACAATTTTAATTTCTCTTATATTTGTATATGTAATTTTTATATTATGTATTAAAATAGAGAATTAATGATAAGTTGATAGGATTGTGATCGGACTAATGATGCGGTGGTGAAAGTTTTTGAATGATCCTTTTATTTTATATTTTTTATTTGACTTTTGTTTGAAGTATAATTAACGAATTTTAAGATGTATTTTATTTTCACAGAATTCTATATGTTCTATTAGAGTCATGTTTGTTACCTACAAAAGGTGTTAAGTACACCACGCACGTGTTTAAGGTTTGAAGTCTTTGTTTGTGCATTATTCATGTTTGAAGTTTGGTGTATTTGTTTGTGCATCACTTGCGCATTCAAGATTTGGTTTCTTTAATTGTTTGTGATGCACAGCGTTGATACTTTTAACTTTGTCTTTCTTTTTATTTTTTCTTAATTTACGCATTTGAGGTTTAGTGTCACTTTTGAGGATTTGAGTTTTATCTTGTTTTTTTTTATTCTCTTTTTAATGTTTTACTATCTACGTGTTTGAGGTTTTATGTCAATGTGGAAGATATAAGTTTTACGATGTCATTAGCACAATAACAATTGTGATGAAAATCTTGTTTATTAAATTATTCTTAACACAAATGAAATTAAACAGAGAAGGGATTTATTTATAGTAACATTTTAGCTTGGAAGCTTTACATGTCTTTTATATGAGCTCCCTATGGAGGGTTTCAATCATACATGTTCCATAATCGGTTCTTGTTCGGACCATGTATGGATCTTCTCGGTTTGATGCTAGTTTGCCCTCCCCAACATTATTTTCACTAGTGTCATATCTTCGGAGAACAAGATCATTAAGGTGAAACTTTATAAGATTTATCTTTTTATTATATCTAGTTGTTGTGACCTGCTTGATGAAGTCATTGTTGATAACAAGAAAATATTTGTTTTCCTTTATAAGAAGTTTAACTTTTTCAAAAACACTTGTGAGGTTTGCTCGTCATAGAAGAGATGTGTCATTATCTAGTTAAGCTAGCGAGAGAGAGAGAGAGAGAGAGAGAGAGAGAGAGAGAGAGAGAGAGAGAGAGAGAGAGAGAGAGAGAGAGAGAGAGAGAGAGAGAGAGAGATGTTGTGAAGAAGTGTGAGAGTGTGGTTTATTGTTGTTGACCCATTGAGGAATATTTAGAGTGTCACATCAGAAGGAAGGAAGGTAGAATCCGAGCCTTATATTGTGTTTGTGGCCTTTAAAATATCTTTATCTTTCTTCCTTTTTGAGTTTCTTTTTTTCATCCACATGTGTGCTTTATCATTGCGGTTTGTCATACCATACACATTTTCGGAATGAGTTTCCTCGTAGTCAAGGAATCACATATTTGAAAAACGAATGGTCTTTTGATCAAGATCAAATGGTAGAAATTTAAGTTTGATATATAAAATTATAAGATTAAAACTAAAATATGTATTTTGTTTAACCATAAGATCTTGATCGAGATATCGATAATAACTTAAATGCGTGAATGCGTCCATTTTGCGATTCCAAGAGATTTACTTTCCTTATTTTCCTATTAACTTTTTCATTCTAATTCTAAATCTTTAATTCAATTATATTTTTATCTATTATTTTTATTCATTCATGAAATTAAAATATAAAAAAATCAAAATTTTCCTTGCATATGAAAAAATCAAAATTTCATACATGTGCATTCATCATCATGCATGCATACTTTTCCAAAACAAAAAAACTTATTCTAGCATTTATTCATAACCAGCAGACTAACTTTCCAGCAACCATATCAAACTCGAAGAAGATTTTGAAGGATCATGGACCCGTTGGAGCTAAACCAGGTTTCGTTAAGATAAGATGTTGAATCGATGAAAAACAAGTTGGACCAACTCGTGGAGGCCGTGTCACTTTTGGCACAAAGAGAGGACAAGATTCAACGAACTTCAGTTATTGAGAATGTCATTCCACCTCAAGTAAACAGTTCTGCTCAACCTCAGCCTGTACATATCCTAGTTGACAATCCTATTATACAAGAGCACCCAACTATTCGAGATGGCCATACCTCACCTTCTGATGGTATTAAGTATCATATGTTTGCATCCATTATGCCAAATCCCCAAGAGGCAAGCCCAGTGGTGAATAATGAATGACCACGGGATGTTGAGATGGCCGAAAGATGTTATGTGTTGGAAGAAAGGCTTAAAGCCATAGAGGAGCGTGATACATATGGACTCGACACTTCCCACTCGTGCTTAGTTTAGGATGTAGTAATCCATGAAAAGTTCAAGATACCGTATTTTGAGAAGTACAAAGGGATTAGTTGTTCAAAGACTCATTTGAAGATGTACTGTCAGAAGATGGTTGTGTACTCTCGAAATGACAAGTTGTTCATCCACTGTTTTCAACACAATCTCAATGGGGCATCATTCAAATGGTATATGAAACTAGAGAAAAGTCACATCCACAATTGGAAAAACTTGGCTAAGGAATTCTTGAAGCATTACCAATACAACACAAATATGGCTCCAAATCGTACTCAATTGCAAAATCTTACTCATAAGGGTAATGAGTTATTCAAAGAGTATGCCTAAAGATGGAGAGAGTTGGTTACTCACGTTCAACCGTCAATGCTGGTTATGAGGCTAGTTGATATGTCTATGAGCACCTTGCAGGACTCATACCTCTAAAGGATGATAAGTTGTGTATCATCAAGCTTCTTTGACCTGATGATACCTAGAGAATGCATCGAGAGCATGCTCAAAAGCGTAAAAATACCAAACGCCTCTAGTGTCCAGATTAGTGAGAGTGGGTCCCTTAGTAGTTTCAAAGAGAAGGAAGAGGATGAAATTGATGCAATTTGGGAAACTCACTAAGCTCCACCTTCAGTGCCTCACTATAAGTACCTGTACGTATCAGTTATTCAGTGTCAGCAGCCTTCTGGACCTCCATATCACATACCATTCTCTCGACATGCTCAATATTCACATGTAATTCAAGTTCATCCTCAGTATCAACAATACGTTCCACGACAACAGCCATACCAACGTCAGTATGTTCCGTAGCGGCAACGCTAATACACCCAAATGCCAAAGAGGTAATTTGATCCTTTTCCATTTCCATAAAGTTAAATACTACCATATTTGATCAAAAAAGGACTCATAGTGTCGAAGGAACTAAACCCAGTGCTTCCTCCATAGCCACCAGAATTTGAAGCCAATGTTATATGCGACTTTCGCGCTAGGGCACCAGGACATTAAGTTGAAGATTGCAAAGCACTCAAAAGTAGGGTACATGATCTTATTGATTTAAGAGCAGTTTATTTATGCCTCAAGGCCCTAACATCAACAACAAATCCCTTACCTGGTCATGTTGGTCCACCAATCAATGATGTGGAAGAAGTCGCGGAGAAGAGGTGTTGAAATAGGTATCATATCAGTCTCAATGAGCATGACAACTCTGAAAAAGCTATCCCAATAGTGAATCAAGAAAGGAATGTTCATCCTCAATGCTGGCAATCATTGGTCTATTTCATCATTTTGCATTCTTAAATGATTAGGTTATTAGGTATTGAATACAAGCTTCCTAAATCTTTAAGAACACCCTTGATCAATATTTTTCTCTTTAATACTTGATTTTTATTTCAGGACTTAGATGCTTCTTCAGAAGCAGTAATGACTGGAAGAGCCAGATTACTCTTTTATCTGAATCATGCATTAATTTCACCTTCAAAAGAATATGCAGTGAAGATTAACTAACATTAGGTTCTGGTATTGTTTCTTCTTGCGTTAGTACAAGTACTTTAGAAGCTTCTGAAGTTACTCTTCTATCAACAGATATAATAACCCATCCAACTGATTAAGAAGTACTTCTGACAAGAAATATAAGTTCCTTATCATCATATACTTCAAGGAATTAAGCTTCAATAAAGGTGATATGTTAGATAGCTTTTCATCATCTAATTTCATTTCTTTTCTTTGAAGATTTGCAAGATAAACCAACACACCACAATAAATTCAAGTTTTATAACTTCTTGAATAATTGTGACCTCAGATTTGAATCTAAATCAATCTTTTTAGAATTTGCTTGAAAGATTAGATGAAGTGTAACTAGACAAGCTTCAAAACTGATTCCCACAAATATGAGAAAAAGAATTTATAGATAGTCTGAGCATCAGACATATTAATGACGTTGATATACTCAAAAGTGAGATAGAGCGCCTACCAGAATGAAACTACCTCTGAAGATATTCAATAAGCTTCTTTTGAGCTGGTGATAGAGACTTTCAAAAAGATTATCTTTACACCATCAACTTCTATAGTAATACATTTTGAAAGGATATTCTATAGACCTTCAAAACCCCTTTTATCAAGACCAATGAGTTAAAAAATATGTTTTTCTTTTTCCATCATTTAAGCTCAGTGGAATCACCCTTTGAATATGGTAGGAAAAGCAGTATAATATTTTTCATGTGGCACTTGATTCCTTCTTGAAGGAAAGTCTTTAGCAGACATACTTTTCTTATTGGATCATTATATGCGCCACTGTTAAGTGTTAAGCATAGACCATGCTTTGATAC